TTGATATTTCCACGGCTACCTCGAAATCAAATTCTTTAAAAATTATTTTTTGTACAACTGTTATTGAAAATCTCTTTGATAGAAACACTTCAATCGGAACACCTACCAAAAAATCATTTAGAAAGGTTCACATATGCAGTTCGTGCTATTGGTAATATTAAATCCCTGCGAAGTTACTGAGGATGACGAAGTAGTATTCAGCCCAACTGTAGAAAGTCCTTCATGACTAACCAATAATCCTCCTTAAAATAACGTGAGTTGGTGTATGTAGTTGTAACATATGCCTTGTAATCCAATGATCGTGTGTTCAAATCCCATGGACCCTAAAATTTTTTTCATTATCAGAAGTAACGTTATACAAAAAAATTTGTATTGTACATTTGTTAAAAGTGATTTTATTTTGCTCGTGAGTTTGCTCCACTTGCTGACGCTCGTTTTGCAATAATCCCCACTCACAAAATAAAATGCCACTTTCAACACTTGTAGGTAAAACGTGAATAATTATTTTTCCACAAAAACGGCTTTATTAAGAAAACTTGACGATTTAGGTACAGGGATATGTATATCATCTTGAAGCATTTTTCACCATCTTTCAATTTATCGAGTAATATACAAGGGGTTTCATTTGAAAAAATGAACTTTCGACTACTTTTATGCACAATGGAAATAATAGTAATTTTAGGACACCCTGTATGATATGGAGTCGATTTCTTGGTGTTATTTGAATATTTCGAGTTTGTTCAAACTATCATCAAAATATCAACTTTTCATGAATTGAGAGTACTGATGTACTCAATTTCAATTAAGGCTATGTTTTGGACCATATTTAGCACAATTTATTTTTTATCTCGAAAACAGATAGAGATAGAGATTTTAATACATTATTAACAAAAAAGTATTAAAATACTAGAGTAATTCTAAAAATGTATTAATATACGGGGTGTTCCATTTAAAAAAATATAATTGCTAAGACTTTTTGATAGAAGTGGCAACGCCGCAATACTGAAAATATTTTAGATCGATAGAACAGGTAAGGATTCGTGAGAGGTGAAATTTTCAGAAAAATCATGCTTTGCGTTTTCCAGAAACGTCTAACCTACCATCGACCGTGAGTCACGTTGTATACAAAATAAACAGAAGATGACCTAACACGGATCGTTGGGGAACTCCATTATTTGAGTGTTCAATGTTATGTTGTCATGAATAATATATTGTCTTCTTCTGGTTAGGAATGATTGCAACAGTTTTAACGCTAAACCTCTTATTCCGTATTTTTCCAGCTTATTTAGAAGCATGTCGTGGCATATACTATCAAAAGTTTTTGACAAATCACATAATACAGCCCTGGTTAATATTCCTGTGTCTTTATTTTTTGCTATAGTATGAATAATGTCCGTTACTGCTTGAGTAAATGTGTGTAATTTTCTGAAACCATACTGTCTTTTGTTGATATATCTTCGTCTTTCAAGATAATCAGCAAGCCTGTCTTAACACAATTTTGATAAATTTTGACAATACCGGGGTTATTGTAATTAATCTATAATTATTATAGTCATTTTTATCACCTTGTTTGTGAATAGGTGTAGCTCTACAAATCTTTGAAAAAGATGGTTAAGCATTAGAAACAACAGCAAATTTATTGAGTCATCTAAACAATCATTGGTAGTAAGTACACTGAATGTAACAATTTATCGACAGGATAATTCCGGTATGTCAGAAAGTTGCTTTGTTTTTGAAATTATTAATAATGTGATTCAAGAAAAAAAGTACACCTGCTATCACAAAAAGGTATTTTCTCACAATTTTCCATTTTATAGGCAAAATAAGCTCTATAATCTTACAACTCTTATGTTAAATTCACATGTATGTTTTTTTTACCAACTCCATAAATAATTTCAGGAGACATATTGTTATTTCTCACTGGCCAAGAAGAAATTGAAGTGGCTTGCAAAAGAATAAAGAGAGAGGTTGATAATTTGGGTCCCGAAGTAGGTGAATTGAAATGCATTCCTCTATACTCTACTCTCCCGCCCAACTTACAGCAAAGAATCTTTGAAGATCCCCCACCAAACAAACCAAACGGGGCTATTGGACGTAAAGTAGTTGTGTCTACTAATATTGCTGAGACCTCTTTGACAATCGATGGTGTAGTCTTTGTCATTGATCCTGGATTCGCCAAACAAAAAGTATATAATCCAAGAATAAGAGTAGAATCACTTTTGGTTTCTCCCATAAGTAAAGCCTCCGCTCAACAGAGAGCTGGTCGAGCTGGTAGAACCAAACCAGGGAAGTGTTTCAGATTGTACACGGAAAAGGCTTTCAAAAATGAAATGCAGGATAATACGTATCCTGAAATATTGAGGTAAATATTTTCAATTTTTATTTCTTCATTTTTTTCAAACAGTTAATTCCAAATTAGCTACAGAATGTAGTTGCTGTTGGAGGTCACTCTGAGAAATGTGCTCAATTTGAATTCACTAGGCACGTTAATGAAGATGTGACTTTATATTAACTTTCATTATTTTGCAAACGATATTTTTTGATAATGTATCACATTTAGAGTATTTTTTGATAGGAGTAACTTTTTTTTTGGTAATGTAATTTACTGGGAAATTTCAATACATTTCTGAACAAACTACTCTGCGATACATCAAAAACAGAGTTCAGATATTTATTTATTTATTTATTCAACGGGTAGTCCCAATTACAATTTTTATAAAAAGAAATTGTAAAATCTCAACTAAATTAAAGATAATAAATACAATAAATACATAATACAATATAAAACGCAATAAAATAATATAGTGATAAAATGACAGTACAATTTTGTCATTGAGATATACGAGGTATGCTCAGAAAAAAACAGAAATTTTTGAGTTTCAAGGATATTTTTTGAAATACTTGCAACTCTTGAGTTTTAATATTAATTGTTGACAGTGACCTTTCCAATTGAGGAACTCATCTAAAATGATTCCCAAGAATCTTGCATTGTGATCAGTATTTGTTAGGGTCACATTGTTCACCATGAAATGTATGTTTTCCACTCTGTTTTGCCAGTTGTGAATACGAATAACATCTGTTTTGTCCGCATTGAAGAATAAATCGTTATTGAAATAATTTGATGTCCGCCTTACTATTCTGGCACAATTTTTTTGTAATTCTTTTGTAACTGGTGCAGAAATAACTAGCAAAAAGTCATCTGCATAAGCGATATAATGACCTTTGGTAACTACTTATTCAATGTTATTTACATAGAGTACAAACAGTAGAGGACCCATTATTGAACCCTGTGGCACTCCCATACTTAGATTCAGATATTCGGAATTGAACTTGAACTGACACATATTGTTTTCTATTTTCCAGAAATGACTTCAGCCAACTGAGAGAAACCCCTCTTATATCACACATTTCCAATTTTGAAATAAGTTTTTTAAGATTAACGCAGTCGAATGCTTTACTTGAATCACAAAGAATCACGGCTGGGCATTCTCCTCCATTTACATATTCTAGGATTTTGTTCAATAATGAAAACATTGCTGTATTTATTGATTTTTCGGAACAAAATCCATGTTGCATTTGACTTAATATGGAATGTTTATTTAAAAATGAACAGAGGTGTGCAAGAAAAGTGAATTCAAAAACTTTAGACAATCCACAGGGGACCGTAATAGGGCGATAATTTTCCATTGATGTTGGATCCTTTTTTTTAAAAATGGGTATAATTTTTCCTGTTTTTGAATGATTTGGAAAAACACCTACTGTAAATGATATTATTAATCAAATGCGCCAAAGGCACAATAATTACAGGAAGAACTCTTTTTAATATGAACATAGGTATGTCATCTGGACCTGATGATTTTTTATTTTTCAGTTTGTTATTTAATAGTACACACATCGGAAAAATCTAGGGATATTTTTATAACATACTAAATATCATAAAAATAAATGCATGAGGTCGTTTAATTTCGATTAAATTGGTACACTCGACCACCCTGTAGATTTCTATGGGTTGAACAAAGCCTGCAAAAACGGTAACTAATCTTTTATCAAGTTTTTTACAAACTGTAGGTTTTCGGCTAAAATGAATAATCTGAAAGTGTCGAGTTTGTACATTCTATGCAGTTCTTGCTCAGCAATTAAACTGGAAATATTGTGCTTTAACATGGAACACCATCACTTACCATTGGCTAAGATGAGTAGAGCTGTAGGGCTTCTTCAAGGTGGCATGCGACAAAATGATGTAGCTCTTCGTTTAGGGGTCTCCCAAAGTGTTATCAGTCGATTGTGGCGGCGTTTCCGTGAAACTGGCAGTCCAGCCGAACAACATCCAGGGCGAGGACGCGCTACAACTGCAGTTCAAGACCGATTTTTGGTCTTAACCGCAAGAAGGCAACCGACAATCACAGCACCTGAGTTGGTTAACGTGTTGCAGCAGACGCACCAGGTAACCATTGGTCGTGATACTGTCAGAAATCGACTGCATGAAGCAGATCTCCACAAAAGAAAGCCACTTAGATGTCCACCTTTGTCGAGAGGCAATCACGGTAGAAGATTAGAGTGGTGTCAAGAACATCAAAACTGGGATGCAAATGATTGGGCCACAGTTTTGTTTACAGACGAATCCAGATTTGGATTTCATCCAGATTCTCGTCGAGTAAGACTGTGGAGACGACCTGGAAATAATGAACGTTTGAGACACGTCCAGGAAGTCCACACATACAGAGGTGGTACAGTAATGCTATGGGGCGGAATCATGATCGGCGGCAGAACCGATCTCGTTTTTCCAAATCGCTCCCTCCCAGCTCGACAGTACCTCGACACCATTCTTCTACCTATCGTCCGTCCGTTTGCTGGTGCTGTTGGTGAAAACTTCCACCTAATGCACGATAATGCTCGTCCACATGTCGCGCGTCTAGTGACTGACTGGCTCACCAACGAAGGAGTTGATGTATTGCCATGGCCAGCACAATCACCGGACCTGAATCCCATCGAGCATGTGTGGGACATGCTTCAACGAAGAATTACTCCGCATATGGGGAACATTCACACAACGTTTCAATTGAGAGAGTTTTTAATCGCTGAATTTGCAAATGTACCTCAACAAGACATTGACAATCTCATTTTGTCGATGCACGATAGATGTAGGGCCGTAATAAACCAGCGTAGAGGCCATACTTTGTACTGATTTCAATTTTTTTTGTATTATAATTTTTTTTCGGGGTGCCAAAGAAGAGCCATATTTTTTTTTTAGTTTTGCTTATATGCGCACTCAGTATTTTTGACCATTTATTAAATTTTGTTGTAAGTTACATTCGTTTAATAATCACCCGTCAACTTTTTTTTCCCTAAAGTGATCTAAAAAAAATTATTGCCATTTTTAAAAATATCCCTAGACTTTTCCGATGTGTGTATAAACAATTCGTCACCTGTGTATGGAGTCAAATACATCGCGTGAGGATTGAAATCTACTAATTTCCCAAATTCACTGTAGTAGAGCGTATTTGATTCACTAACTTAGTAGGAGTGTTGATAAAAAAAGTATTAAACAAGGAAGAGATAGTTTCTGGGTCTTCTATCAGCTGGTCATCCAACCTAATATTTATGTCATTGTATGTTCTATGTTTATTTGTCAATTCAGATACCACATTCCATGAGGCACGGTTCTTAATAGGGGCTTCATGTATCTTATCTTGGTAATATTTTTTCTTTTTTTTTTTTACAATTAGGGCTTGGTGTTTTCTCTTTGCCTCTTTCTTAACTGGCAAACAAGTTGAATATGTATTTTTTAAAGTAAACAAGTCTCTCAATGATGTACCAGATTGTATGATTGAATCATCTACCCATCTCTTATTATTGTTCTTGTAATAAAATCTTTTTTCAGGAAAATTTGAATTGAAATGGTTGAGTAAAATTTCAGAAAAATAGTTGAAAGCTTCATTAAAATCTATAATTCTGTAAACATTTTCCCACTTTAATTGAAGTTTCTCTTTATTTCACTTTTGACGTGACTGACTTTATTCTTATTCACAGTATCCAGCTCTAAAAGTACTATTCTATGATCAGAAATATTGTTGTCTAAAACACAGCATGTACCACCATTAGAAAAATTTATAAAAATCTGATCGATTATTGTTGATGTTGTATCTATTACTCGAGTAGGCCATCCTATTAACGGAATTGAATTAAAACAAGATGGAACCGTACACAATGAATTAAAATTTTCGTTTGTATACATGTCAAAGTTAAAATCACCGCAGAGTATAAAATGGATTCTGGGTTTGTACAGAGAGTCTAACATCTAAGAAATCTTATCTAAAAATAAATTAGCATCTTCACTAGGAGCTCTATAACAGTTTAAAACAATATTTGTTCCATGTTGTGTTTTAAAGAAAGCGGCACAAATTTCAAAGTGTTGTTCGACACAAAATTTTGATACATCTATGGATTTCATTTCAAAACTGTCGTGGGCCTATATGCTAACTCCTCCACAGTGGATAGTTGGTCTGCAGTAGAAACTAGTTAGTTTATAACCTTCAATATGTGAGCAGTTTAATTGATCATATTTTACTAAAACATAAAATTTGTAGCAATGTTAATTTGGATATGTGATCGCTGTATAACAAATTAGCTTTATCACTATTTAATGTATTTATAAAGATTTGGTCGAAATATCACACTATTGTGGTGGTTTCTCTGGGCTTCATGAAAAACTGACCTACACATGCACCAAATGGCCAAACCTCTGGGCTCATGGCTTTTTTGAAATTATTTTCAAATATTGTCACCTTGAATGATGAATACAATGCTGGAAATCGATAAGTTAAGTGCTCGCATTTTACTTCAGGAAAATAATGTATCAACAAATTAGATAATTCATCAATGGTTGTGTGAGGATCCAGTCTACAAACATGTAGACTCACACTCTTAGGTACCCCTTTACGAGATTCCTCGTTTTTTCCTATAACACAAGTTCTTTTGTTTTTTCTTTTGACTACTTCAGTCCATGTTTCCTTCTTAGAAAGAGAGTTTGAAGGTAGATCACTTTCCAGATTAATGTATTCATTTAGATTTGTTGTTTTTTGTGCCTGTGTAATTGTCATATGGATGAAGGTATTCACTATGTTTGGAACAATGAATCAATGTCCAGTAAATTTGTACGTTTGTTGACTTGTGACGATGGTTGGTTTCGGGAATGCCAAATTGTAAATATATTTTATAGCCATATTTTGGTAACTTCTTCAATTGCTTAAATGCCCAAATAGAAGTAAAAAGTTGTAGTTTCCACTTATATGAAATTTCAATATCTTTTTCTCAAATTTTGAATATGTAGACTCGATGACAAAGTTTGAGGACGTAAAAACGTATACATTTTTAATTTTTTTGTATATTTGATATCACAATTGTTTTAAGATGGTTATGTAATAAATGACAGTGGGATCTGAATTGGCGATCCCTATATACTACTAATGATATATAATAATCATCTCAGTTTACTTGCGCCAGAAAAATTCACCCCCCTGAATAAGGGATCGTTCAGCCGAAGGTATTTAGCGCACGACTGACTTAAAACTCTCCACCTTAACTCTGTTAGGGGATGTAATTAATGTTATCTCAGAAAATTCTTACCAGTCGGAAAGTCTGAAATTGTTTCCAAGACTGATACTCTTATCGCCATTTCATGGTCCGGCGAATAAGTCCGCAATAATTCACGTCTAGTCCCCGACATTTCTAATGTCGTGAGTTTGCTACTGATATATAGATGTCACTCCAAGGGTTATTTTGATATTTTCGCTGTCTTGAATAAACATATGTAGACTACCTCGGATGCATTAATTTTATCATGTCATTAACTTTTGAGCTCATAACATAAATTTCGATATTTATTATACTTTTAAGTGCTTTTTGACTTTTATTTTAAATGGGGTATACAGACTGAGTAATATATTTTCGACCCTTAACGTCAGATAATGAAAAGAATAATGAGGTTGAATGTTTCAAAGTATCGAATTTCTTAGCATCAAGCAGTTCATTTTAACGACTTTTTCTTTAAATGGCTTGGCTCTGTTGACCTAAAGGTTATTTCTGAGAGCTGATAAGGTTCCCTTTTTATAGGAAAACACATGAATTTGAATTGAATTTGAACATGTCGTTTGGTATCTAAAATTCAATAAAAAATATAATATATCCAACTTATTACAGTTATTTAATTTGAAAATTTACATGAGTAATATGACTTTCACAGAATGTAAAAAAACATGGTTATAATACTGTTAGATATTTAATTACTGAGATAGTTAGAAGATTCCTGTTAACTACATGTGTTTCTTTACATAAACTTAAAAACATTTTCAAAGTTAATACTTAATAACTTGAAATTACAAAGCGGAAATAATTAGTCTTCAATTTATCAATCACATTTGATAAGTATAAATGAGGAAAATATGTATTCATTATTTTTATATGCGTTTTTCCAAGGTCCAACCTGGGATCAGTAGTACTTCAGTTGAAAAAGCTTGGTATAGACGACCTGGTACATTTCGATTTCATGGACCCACCTGCACCAGAAACTCTTATGAGAGCCTTGGAATTGCTCAACTACCTTGCAGCCTTAGATGACGATGGAAATTTAACGGATCTTGGTGCAGTTATGGCCGAGTTTCCCTTAGATCCCCAGTTAGCGAAGATGTTGATTGCCAGTTGCAACCACAATTGCTCCAATGAAATATTGTCTGTAACGGCAATGCTGTCAGGTATTTAAAATTGGGGATTTACTTCAGTATTAGACTGAGAATTTGGGGAAGTAAAAATCCATGAAAAAAAAAATTAAGCAAGTGTCAATTTTATCAACAAAAAAATCTTAGGATATCAGGTGTTATAATGAGTGTAATTTTTCAAGGGTTGAATCTTTTTTGTTTTGTGGGTGAAAGATGCAGCAAAAAGTTTTAAATTTTTTTTACATTCGATTGTCAAAAATGAATGTACTCTCTATCTTTGTTTTAACAACATATCTAAATAAGTGTCACATCACATAGATATAGAAATAGATATTTCATCAAAATTAGCATTGAAATTCCTACAGACACTTACTGAGACAAATGGAAGCAACATGTCCCTAATTTGTTAGCTACGTTGCCAGTTTTCAGAATGTATGCCCGAAGCAGCCATAGCAAGAAATATCTGTCCATGACTAGCAACACACATAGTGCCTCCCTACTAAAATGTTGTTGATGGCCTCATCATGTGAATTGAAAAAATGAAAGTTCTTGCACCTCTCTCCAAAAAGTTTTGGAGAATAAAACTTTATACACCTCAGGTTTACGGAGCAATATTGTCTGTATTGATTTTTTATACAGAATCTGCATAAAAAATATAAATACAGAGTCTGTACTGGCAATTTGTTCATGGAATATTCAATCATTCTGCATATGTTATTGCTGGTAGAATGCATCATTGAAAAGTAGGCTTGTGTAATATATCGTATTGTTGCTCTGAAAAATTTGGTCAACATTTTGATCGAAAGTTACTGTAATTTGTGCAGAAATTAGGTACATGATATGTCCAATAATTTCAATACATATATTTCTTTCATTGTGAGGGAAGTATATGTTAATTTAGTTCTGGGTATACCAAATAAACATTTCCATCCCAATATATCCTTGAAAGAAAAACCTAATTATAAATTGGACATGTTTTCAATTATCTATATACTTGTCTTCAACTCCATCAACTCTAACCTCTAAATTCAGTCATGTGATGTATCACATTTTGTACTTTTAACTACCAATTCAGCACACTCTTTGTTTTCATTTTGAATATTTTTCTAGGTGAAAGATTAAGGTTGCTTTATCCCCGTGATCAAACTAGAAGTATTTGAAAAATCTTTGGTGTTAAAAGGTGACACTAAAAAACGCTTCTCTGTCTCAGATTTCCTGAGATTTGCGATGATTGCTTCACTGAAAAAATCTGGTGGCATGAAATACAGTGAACAACATTTAACCCAATCACATTTTGTGATTTTGTGACACGAAAATCGCGAAGGTCGAGCGACGGCGAATGCGGGGTGACGCAGAACGGGGCGATGAGGAGAAGTATCTCGTGTGGGCACGAAACGCCACCGCTCGTTTCGTGCGCGTCACCTATACTGTCGATGTTGTTCGTTGTTGTATGCATCGCCACCGTTTCGCGGTCGCCTCTTCATTGCTGGGCCGTCGCCATTTTCGTGCCCGCAGCCTAAAATTCAATGATCAGTCGCAATATGGTGACACACTATTCAAATGAATTTCCAACCTGTATAGGATCTTCAATAGATTTCTCTTGTTTGTGGATTGCTTATCTGAAATAAACGTTTGAGATTATATTTAATAATCCGACTTGGGTAACTGTTCACATAAGTATAGCTCTCAAAGTGCCTTGAAGATTTTCTTGCACTGTTTTTTGATAATTAAGGGTACGTAATTTTTGCAAATTGAAAAATCAAAATCAATATTCTTCATTATATGTTTTTGACATCACAACTAGCATAAGTAGGTATTTAATTGAAGGCAAGCATTGTACGTGGGTTGCCTTTTGTATTTCGGGATTAGAGAACAAAAACAAATATTAATCATCTAAAATCACTTTGTTGTTTTTCAAAATATTCCCCATGAAGATCTATACACTTTTGCAAGCGTTTGAACCAATTGTCGAAACACTTTTGCCACTCTGATTGAGGTATCTCCAAAACATTCATTCTGAATGCAGCAACCACTTCTTCAGGTGTCGAAAAACGTTGACCTCTCAGAGAAGTCATTCGGTGCCAATTCAGGATTATACGGATGACTCAAATCGATGTTTTAGGTGCTCAAAAATGCAGTTGTTTGAGCCGATATGTGAGAGCTCGCATTGTCGTGGTGAAGATTGATCAGTCTTCGGCGGTTGGTTTTCCTGATTTCTTGAAAGACAACTGTTAAAAAAATCTGTTTAAAATCTGTTTTTCCGTTAATCAACTTCATTTGTTGAACTGAATCTTATGTGTACAGACAATTTGTCAAAACTTCATTTAAATTTATCTGAAATAATTGTGCCTACTATTAATGATTAAGGAATAAGATAAGGTATAAATACTTAACTTATCCATAGTATGTGCATTAACTTTCTTGAATCTTTGCTTTAATAGTGTAAATAATCAAAATTTCGGTTATAACTACCAAAACATAGAAAAAAAATGCATTTAACGTAATAGGGAACTTGCATAAAAATTTAATCACGAAAATTACATTGAGAATCAAAAGATAACACTGTAATAAATCCTTTATCACAAAAAAAAACTATTTTTAAATGCTATTCGTTCTATAGAAACAAATAAAGTTTATTAAAAATTTAAATTTCGTCACGTGACTAAAAACGCCCAGCCATTGGATGTGACGTCATACTGTATTTCGTCAGTCGCCATTGTGTTGTTTATTGTGGTATTTTGTCCAAATCTGTGGTTTTTACCGTATTTAGTTATTTTAGACTGTATTATTTACTATTAAGTGAGTAAATTCGAACAAACATGACCGACGACGGATTTACAAAAGGTCAATCCGATAATCTGCCAGTTGTTGATATGTTTATGGTAGCGAAATTCATTAAAGAAGCTGAACATTTTTCTCTTGGTGAAGTACATTGAGTTAAAATACACAAGTAAGTACAATTATTATTTGTTGTGAGTTTAATAACTGTGTATAAATTATATATTTTAACAAATTAAGTAGGTATCAACCACCATATGGTAATATCATCATGAAAAGAGATAATTATTTGATAATAGAACCCAACCTAATGAAATTTTGTATGAATAATTTGTGTTAAATTGTGTCAGTTTGGTTAATCTTGATTAACTTTACAATTAATATTGAAAGCCGTGGATTTTTGGAATTTCTTTTGTAAGAAATTCTAATAAAGAAATTCTAATAAATATTTTAGTGGGTGATTTAATCGAAGTATTTGTGTACAAAGGCACAATGCAATATTTGTATTATTGTTTGTGTTCCATTGCCTTTGAAATTGAAAGTCCTTGTTACATTTATAAATTCAACAACAAACAAACACAGCTGAATCAAGGTTAAACACAAATCACTAAACTGTACCACTCAATAATACTAATCTATTAAAAAAACAGGACCTCATCACATTTTACACAGAAGCGTTTTGCTGCAGCTGCTTAAATAAGTAGATTTAAACGGCAGTCACAGCCTGAGTCATATGCGTGCGCCCGGATTCATACAGTATGACGTCATGACAGTTCGCGCCTTTAAACGCTTGTTTGAATTGGTTTTTCAACGCAAGAAACTTTTTATATTTTTTATAAACTGACTATTGATATTTCACTGCTCATTTTCATAGCAGAACACATTTACGATGTAAAACAATCTGCAAGTTTCCTATTATCGGCAAATTTCGCATTTACTCGCGCCTATTTCGTGAAAACGAAAATTACGTATCCCTACTGATTAATCCACTAATAGAAATGGATCTGAGTTTGCGATAAAGAACTCCTTGTGTTTCAGATGGAAAAAAGTCCTTACAATATGATTTCTCAAGATCTTATCTCAGGCATTGAGTGTTTGGGTGTGCTACTCAAAAAATTTATAAACCTCTATGTTTATATCAGACCAAAAACGCCACCATCTTTTCTGTTTTTGATACACGACCCAATTATAGAAATTGTTGTGAAATGCCCAAGTGTCATTTAATTTAATATATTGTTGGTTCCGGTTAATCCAGCATATGTGTCTCTCAATCCACCGTTGAAGAAACGTTCATATATTGAGTAGGTGGGATTTTACAGTAGAAAATTATTTTTCAATTGTGATATGACAATCAGGTGAATGGAAGCAAACATAAAGGTTATTACGACTCTTTTGAAGATAAAATCAACATATGTAAGCCTTTCTCAAAGTGATCAGATATAACTTAGCCCTTGGTATTTATCAAATTACTCCTGAAACCATAAATAAACAAATTGCATGAATGAATTGGTTGTTTTAAGACTTTTTTGCAACGATACATCACATAACTAAGTTTCTCTATTAATAATTGGGGTCAGTACCACAAAGAATTAGAGCTATAAGTCTTTGGGAGTATATTAATCATTATTCTTATTCAGGGACTCTTCAACATAACCAACTATATTTAGAGACATATATTGAAACCAATGACTTTAAAAAAAAGAAAAAAAAATCAACATATGTTCTTCACCTCTAGTTATTCTCAGTATAATTCATTTTGTAATCTAGGTCTTAGGAAGATTGATTAAATATTATTGTGTCAGTAATTTCAAAATGGACTCAGTTGAGTTCGAAAGTTTAATTTAACATATTTGATAAAACATCACAAGTAATTATATTGCTGTTTTCCTCAGTGTTTTTTCAACTTAGCAAACGTAATACAGATTTGAAACTTAAAAATATAGTTGAAAAAGTAACGAACGATAGTATCAAATCTATTTTTTTTTAAGAAAAATGATAGAATCAGAAAACTGCAAAGCATAGAGGGATATAAAATCCAAATAATCATGAAATCGAAATAGTTTATTGAAAGGCAATGAAAAAAACTTCAGAATTTTAAAACAAAAAAGGTGGTTATGAGTTCAACACTTTTGCTTGCTCACATGGTCATTCAAACAAAAACGTTACTTATCCTTAGTTGAAGACAATCTGATTTTTGTGTCTATCTAATGAAATAGCTAAGGAAACTGAATGCCATTTTGCTGTGAACGAAAAAAATGGGAGTCACTAGAAGTAGTGCTACCAATATAAAAATTAAACATATAAAAACCCACTTGATAATTGCTGAGGATAACAATTCCTTTGGAAGGATTACAGTTATCATCCAAAGCAATACTTTTTGAATTATTTTTTCACTTTCTCAACTATTAATATTTCGGAAACAAATTGATTAATTTCATTTTTAATTTTTATTATCTCCACGTTTTTGGGTTAACGAAAGTTGGAATTTCCACTATTCATTAGAAAACATTGTTAACCACATTCAAACAAAAGTACACACGAAGAAATTGTTATCAATAAAGTATTCCCTCTCATCCTACAGAACAACTTCAACATTTTGTAATGAAAAGGGGAATTTAGTTGTAGCTTGCTTGAAAGGTTCTTGAATCCTCAATATAGCCATCTCTTAATTTATGTCTCAGATGCTTATTTGCGGTGGAATTGCTTTAAAAAAGTTATGTCTCTATACTCAATCATCATTTGGATGATTATATGAAGAATTTCACTTGAAAAAACCATTTCAAAAATTGTTACTACAATTTTGAACTATAGCTAATGAGCTGTTTACAATAAATGTTATTTTGTTTAGGTAACATTTACTTTTTGCCTCATTTTTGAACGGTTTTATTTAGCTTGCCCTGTTTGTTTGTACATTAATTTGTTTGGGTCGAATTTAGTAATTAAAGTTTGACCCCCTTCCTGTTGACAAATTGATCTGCTATTTGGTACAAACATTTATACTATAACAATTTTCAATTGAAGGTGATTCATTAGCAACGTCGCATTAGAAGTGACCAACGGATAATCCTCTTACCAACTCTGCAGAGGCGTTCTAAAATAATATTTTTATTTATTTAAACACATAGGTTATTACGTAAAAATTGTTGTAGTAGGTGGCGCTACCTGGTGTCAATGGTAAAATTGATTACATTTTCTTATTATGCCTAATACAGAACTTGAAAAAAACAGAAAAATTTACAAAATAATTATTATGTTCCTTTTATATAGAAAGATAACTACAAAGCAAAGAAATAATTATCTATGTTATGCCTATGAAGTTTCAGAATCCATTGACTCGTACGAAGAGGAATCCCCAGTCACACCTTAATCTATTATTATTTGGTTAAAAACAGTGTCTACCATTCCGTCCAATCTCCACATTTTCTCTTCTTCCTTGATCACATGGGCTACAGCATTAGCCCTTCTTTCCGTATCCGTTCCATTGCGAGTTCTAATAAACGTTGGACATCAGAAATTTCCTATGTCACGTTTTCACGAGCTATGCAACCCTTAATTTGAGTCCAGGGTTTACCTCGCAATGGTAAGGAGGAAGTCTCAAAATGGTGATGCCTTCAGCACGAGCTATTGTATCCACCACGTGCTGGTGGATACAAATTTGGAAACGAATTTGGCTCAACTCGTGAAAGAAGGGATTCAAACCATCCTTCAAAGCGTTGGGCATTCATGTCTTCGTGATAATCCCCCGTTTTTTTGGATAAAAAAATTAGTGCACTATCGTCTAAAAAGCCACTATCGCTACCTATATGGGCGACAATTAGTCGTTGCCCTTTACCCGTTGGTCCGCGTAACCCTATTGATAAACCGTCTACAAATGCTTGACGATAACTAGTTACAGTAGTATCTTGCCAGATATTAGATACTGTGTGACCAGCATTCACCCACGTTTCTTCCAGATAATAAATCTTTTTGTGAGCAGAACGCATCTCTCTAATAGAGCCAGGGTATCTCCGTCACCATGAGACTATATCTTCTCTTTCTATTAAGATAGATTTACAGAACCGTTTGGCATATATAAATTTTAAATCTTCTTTTATTATTTTCCTTAACTTCTCTTTGCTCATTTTTGGAATGAGCAAAGAGAAGTTAAGGTTAAGTTAAGTTAAGTTAAGTTAAGAAGTTAAGGTACTCGTCCAATTCAATTTTTTTTCTACCACGACAATGTACTTTGGGAGCTTGCACAATCCCAATCACCCTTTTTTCACGTACAATGCGTTCAATTGTCGACACGGATATTCCCGTTAAAAATGAACACTGGGCTACAGCTTCCACTGTACGGAGTGTATTTTTTAAATTTTCGTACACTCTACAGGCAATCTGTTTTTCATCTAACGACATAAACTTCCGCTTTCTTTGTACATTACTTGGACCTGCTACGGCATCCATCTTAATACTATGAAAATAATAAAATTCAATCATATTATTCAGCTATTTGTCAGTTATTTACTTACCTCAAAAACTATTTTAAAGTTGATGTATTTTCAAAAACACTTTATTGTGAGATTTTCACTAGAACAGATTAACAAATCCGCAACACGTGTTTCGCTGCACAGTAGCTTTTTCAAGCGTGTTCACTAACAAACTGTTCTAGGAAGTAATTAATGACAGTTATACCTGAGTTCAATTACTAGGTCAACTGATTATCTCACAATAAAGTGTGAATGTGATGAAAATCTATGGTAATGTATTTTGAGAAACAAGTATCGCCCAAGTTTATCTTATATTTTAAAGTTAATAAATATAACAGTCTATTCAATAAATATAATAAAATATATTTAATAAATACAAAACAAAGTCACCTCCACAAGAAACAGAACACACTACGCCTATGCAGATAAGGACGCCTGATAATGAAGGAACCGAATGACTAGTTATGGCATTTTAAGGACGCAAATATAATAGACCTGCGAAGTGTTGATCAGTTTATCGATGTTTCAAAGTATTTAACGAACTGGTTCACCTCGTACATCCTATGGATATGTAGAAGCTATCTTGTTACGGAGGTCAAATTTTATGGTATCATCTTACTTTTCAATTATTTACAATGGCGATGCATAGACAATAAAAATGACCCCGGTGAGAATTCAGTTCTAACATTTAACATTGTTGTCGTTAGCTCTCAGTTTAATTTGTATATGAGTTATCTTCAATTGAAAATTGTTATACTATAGTTTTGATGACAATACGATTTAATAAATTCTATATCATTGTAAATCGAAGATGGCTGCAGCTACAAAATGGCGGATTACTTAAATACCTCAATATGGGTCTCAAATGAAAGGGCTTTACTACTAAAATAGTAGCACACTTTGAAAAAGATGCAAATTCAAGATGATCGCAGCTACAATATGGCGGATTACAGATTACCTTGTAATACAGAGGCACTAAATGAACTAAACAGAATGAGAATAATTGAGTAACAAAATTTGAAACTGAAAACTTGAAAATGAAATTAGTGAAAAAAAAATATTGAACGGTTTTTTTGAAAAAAAAAAAAGATCCTAGGTAGCAGTCATCACATCACTCTTCTCAGGGCGTATTATTTACATATTTACCCAGGTTACGCTACGATACACTTTTTTTCAAACCGTTTATCATAATTTTTTTACTTATTTTATTTACTGTAGACTGTGAAAACAGCAGAAAACATGAGATTCATCATCTTTAGTTTTGAAATGTATCTTTTTCAGAGCTGAAAGAGAAAATCATTAGAAAAACTTGAACTTAGATGGACATTCTGTATCAAAAACTATTCCTCCACAAGTAGATGATTTTACTTCAGGAATAATACAGTGAATCAGTATGAACAGTCACTACCATTTTACACAATTTCAACGAAAATTCCAATACATTTTAAATCTTTCGAAAGCTTTTTTGCAGATAAAGCTCAACCAAAAAAAGAGGCTATTTGATACTTAGAAATTTTAAATTCCTCTCAAACAAGATGTAACTTGATTCCTTGTACACTCATAAAAAATTAGGGGGTTGATCTGTAGCGTAGGAGGTTGAAATATTTTACATAAAGATTGTTATTTTCAAAAATATAACTCGACCTGATCTAGGATTTTCAAAAATATATTTCCCTTATAAATTCAGATTTTATTTCATCCTAGGTTTCCAATACATACAAATCTAGAAAATAGAATACACAATTAAATGTCATTAATGATTCAAAATCAACCCTCCAAAATAAATTCAATACCTGATTCAGAAAATCTGATTGATCAACCAAACCGTTGAACATGATATTTCGAAATTATAATCGTAATTTGATGAAATCTGAGAAAAACAGTATTAATATTACTCATGCATTTTATCTATCATTTCACTACCTGACCTTGCTACCAATTGAAATTCTCAATGTTTTGAGTAGTTTTCGAGTACAAACGCAATTCTTTCTCAAGATCCTAGATCCCTTGAAAAAGTGTTGCTTTTTTGCTTGAAACATTCTTACTAAGGTAGCTCTATAGGAATCGATTGAGCGAGCACATCTATATTGGTTGGATACGGGCATTCCCTTGCCCCGCTCCAATATTTAGTCCCACAGTGTTTCGTCAGACCCAATGAAGCGAAGAAAGCTGCCGATGATGCCAAGATGCGATTTGCCCATATCGATGGGGATCATCTGACACTACTCAATGTTTATCATGCTTTCAAACAAAGTAAGTATATAAATGTAAGGGCTGATTTATTGAATCATACAATTTTTAAGCATTTCTTTAATTTCCCGCCCCCCTTTTATTTTTTGAACGGATCAACTCTGAAAATTGAAATTTGGGATGATGAAATTAATGCATGAATACTTTACTTTGAAGTAAAATTGACACATGAAAATTTCAAGTGTTACGTTTCAATTTAGCACTAGATCAAAAGGGCTTCTATGTGACCTTTCAAAACACTACCTTACCTTTTAAGATCTTTATTCAGAGGATGTTAACAATTTAATTCAGTTACAAGTTGATTTTATTCATTTAACATCATAGTAATGGGAATCTTCCGTTCCATAGAAAACCATACCTGAAATGTATAAGAATATATGTATGCTCCCTGACTAACTGCTTGATCAATACTTACCATTCACTTCGCATTCGACGTTGGAAATCCGAAATTCCTCGCTAGGTTGAAATAGTTGTTATTGTATGTTTCTCAGTTGACTTCGCCTATCATTTTTTCCAAGAATATTTTTTGCATAGATTGTTATTCATCACTTCCAGAAGGATTACTACATATTAGAGCCATATCGCCTGAAAAACACTATTAATTAGCTCTGGGTTTCTGAATACTGTTTGATATTTTCGGTAAATATTCTGCATAATATGAATGTTCAAATATTCGTACTGAATGGGAAAGATGTGGCGACTTACCTTATATGTTTCTATTCCATGGCATAAATAAGGATCGGTAAATAGTTGAAAATAGGCTGGAGTCAATATTTTTGTAAACATTCAATAACAAGGTTAAGAGACAGCAGTTGGTTGACATCTGCCGAACTTTCGTAGCGTCGTTCCAACGACCTACACCGAACTAGTTCTACAGTTGTTCACGGGTGAGGGATTGATCGGTTACTCAAATGTCTCAAGTGGCTGTGGAGGAATTGATAGATTTATGATGTTGTGCACAGCGCCCCCTTGGTGCTTGTAGCGTAGATTGGACACACTGTGGCAACAACTGGATAGCTGTCGGATGTGGCAGTCTCTCGGATTTCGGTGTTGACCTTCGTTGAGCTTGCTTGAGAGTTCAAGGGTATCATCTGACTGATTTGTAGGATATATATGGTTGTATTTGTGCCATCCTTCACGGGGATTATTTTTACAAGTCAGGATTGTATAGTGGAAGACTGATTGGTCATTTTGGTGTGGATATTTGCAGTCTGAAACTTAAACTCTTTTGATGATTTGTGGTGGTTCCCGAACTCATTGTGCCAGGTGGAAGGATTTCCGAAATCAGATTCATAAGAAACATAAGGCCCTTAGTCATTCATCAAGTCCCAGTAGGACTTCCGTGCAGAGCACCGCACACGAAGAAACGTATAGAAAACCCCCTTGGCCAAGGGTTTTTTTTTCTGGGGTGTAGAACACCTTGTTGACAAACTCCCTGGACTTGGAGGTGTTCAGCTACCTTAGGGTTCCTATTTGGTGATCCATTACCGGTCCATCTTGTTGTGCCTTACAGGGTGATCTATCTTGGTGGTGCTACAGGGTGATCTCTCTTTGCGGTGCTACAGCGTGATCCGTCTCCGCCGTACTACAGGGTGATCTATCTTTGCGGTGCTACAGCGTGATCCGTCTCCGCCGTACTACAGGGTGATCCACCTCCGTCGAACTACGGGGTACATACATAGGAATATACTATATTTTCATTAAGAAATCCTTCAATCGTCTTTTGAATATATTTATCGAACCACTATCTTTAATTTCTTGAGGGAGGTCATTAAAACAATCTACTCCTTTATAAAATAAAGAGTTATATGTACTATTTTTTAATATTTTTCAACTTTTATATTGTTTCTGGTATTATGCCCATGTATTTCATCTACATAAGTTAATTTATTCTGTTGATATACAGGTGAATATCCAATTTTGATTTTGAAAATAAAAATTAGTGTTTGATACTCAAAGAGTTTCTTCACTGGTAGCCATTGAAGGGTTTGCAACATATTTGCTAAGGGTGTTATCCTCGAAAATTGTAAGATTATTCGCATAGCACGATTCTGCATCTTTTGTAGTCTATTTATTTCATTTTGATTTAGAAAAAACAGAATGGTAGAACAATAATTCAAATGTGGAAGGATTATGGAGTTGTAGACTAATTATTTAGACTACTGGCTCTAATATGGGGAACATCTTGTTGATTTTGTAAGCTATTGTTTTCATAACTTGATTAGCATGTTCCTTGAATTTCAAGTTGCTGTCACTAGTACACGAATTGGTTTACCTTCTCTATATTATTGTCATTCAATCGTAGAAGTAGGTTTTCATTATTATGATCTCTATGTTTCCATAATAACATCTATTTTGTTTTATTTACATTCACCTTTAGCCGATTTGCAGAGCAATATCTATACACCCTTTCAAGACTAGCGTTTATAGTATCAATACACTCATGTATCACTAATAAAGTACAGTAGGGTATCGTCGGCAAATAAGTGAATTCTACATTCTTCTGCTATGGTTACAATGTCATTTAAATATATAAGGAATAACAATGGTCCCAAAATATACCCTTGGGGTACACTTATATTATTTTGCATTTTATCAGAATAAACTTCCTCTATTTTCATTTTTTGCTGTCTATTGTTCAGATAATTCATGATCCAGTTTAGTGCTATTCTATCAATACCTAAGCTTTCAATCTTGCTAATCATTCTGCATCTATCTACAGTTTCAAATGCCCTTTGAAGGTCAAGAAATACTGCAATAGTATACTGATCCATTTCCGCACCTTTCTTCCAATCTCTTAAAACACATTGTAACGCAGTTTCACAACTATGTTTGCTCTGAATAATCCACTATCTGTTCATATGCAGCCCTTTCCAATACTTTAGCTGTAGCATTAATCATGTTTATTGGTCTCAATTCAATAGTATCCAAATCGTTTCTTACTTGTCTGGAGTAATGTGGTGGTGCTCCATCTTGTTGGGATACAATATCCATATCGAATTCATTAGGATTCGCTTCGACGATTTCAGTGATGAGGGGGTCAACAGTAGTTTCCAGCACTGAAATTGACAGAATATTCGTAAAACAAAAGGCACTGCTACGATTAATTTTTAACCTTGATTACAGAATGTTGTGTAGAGGAATATTTCAAGAGAATAAAATATTAACTGTGGCAAGCATATTTATTTTAAAACTGATGACATATATCCATGAAAATAAAAGGCACTTTGACCTACGATCAGAAGTACATAAATATAGTACTAGAAAAAATTATATGCTCACAACTCGAAAACACCTCTATACAAAATATGAAAAGTCTCCTGTGTTTGTTGGAACGAGTATTTATAATAAATTGCCAAACAGTGCAAAGACACTGCCACCAATTACCTTCAAACAAAAACTTAAAGTCAAGGCATAAATATGCTTTACGAAGCCTAAAAGGTAGTTATCGGATAGCAAGCCATGATGGTTAAACCTCTGCAGAAGCTAGCCACTCGCGGCAGCGAAACTTCAGAAAAAAATTCCAAAAATCCACGTCTTTCAAACTCAAAAAGCAATGACACTGAAAACCTCAGCCGTGAAAGTCTAAACCATTTTAATCATATTGATAGACGCATCGTATGGAGTAGTGTTTTGATATAAAGAAACCTTCAAATGTGTCTCGAATCCTCTTTCAAATTTCTTATAATTTTGACAAGAATAAAAATTTCCTCATTTTCAAAAATGAAAAAGTAGTCACAGTTGTCTTAGGTACTATTTCTAGTACTTATTTTTGTTGGGAATAGTCTGTTATTGAAGAGGTATTTTTTTGGGTTGTCCCTGCTGAGCTATGTTTATTAATCACTGGTTCTTTGTTCAGTTTCATTACTTTTTAGAAGCATGAATATTTATGTTTCAGCAAAAACAGTTTTGATTACTTTCTTGATAATTGTTTACTTATTAGATTTGTTTAAAGATATACCTAAAGAACTATTTTTTCCCTACTATTTTGAATGCAAACATGTTCGTAATTTGAAATAAACTAATATGTATTTCATTTAATAGATATGGAAGACCCCCAATGGTGCTACGACAACTTTGTAAATTACCGTTCTCTCAAATCTGCGGATAACGTCAGACAACAACTGTCTAGAATCATGGACAGGTTCAATTTGAAAAGAACCTCAACAGATTTCACAAGCAAAGACTATTATATTAATATTCGAAAGGCTCTAGTGAATGGATTCTTTATGCAGGTGAGTACATTACGAGTTTGATGAAAAATTAGAATTGAAACTTCCTATGTCTTTATACCACTTCTTTTAGAAAGTAAAGTTACTGCAGTTCCGTCCTACAAGCACATTTTCAAAAGAATACAATAAACTGAAATAATTAACAATGTACACCCTTGTATACCTACAGGGTGTTTCAAATTCGATCCTCACCATTGGGATCTCAGAAACTATGGGAGATACGAAGATGGTTAAATTGGGGCCAAGTTGCGCATTTAACTAACTAACAGTATGCCGTTGAGAAAGTTCTGAAATGCCTAGTATGTCCGGAGATTCGAAAATAAATTGCACTTCCCATTATCACGTTTTTCCTGCTACATAATGGTGTTTTCAGATTTGCTGTCCCACGTTTCGTCCTACGGCCACCACCATCAACTGTATTTTTTCTTATGGGCGCTACATTGGATTCTTTCTGTTTTGAATAAAACCAAATTTTACCTTTTCAATGATGTATCATAAGTTATCATTCTTTTTCGAAAAATTGGAGATATTGAAAAAAATGTCAGGGCAGACAAATCCGCTTTCTGCTTTGCAAGTAATAATAAGTTAGGTAGAACCCTGTTTAATGCAAAACCCAAACGGGACAGAATGAAAAAAACAGGTGTTTTCTGTAAATGGAATTCTTCCAGCAGAATGAAGCTTGCAACAGTCTGCCCATTATTTAAAAAGGTGATGTAAGTGACCTAGATAATTATAGAGCAATAAGCCTACTGTCAAGTCTCTCCCAAGCCATTCGAGTTGAATCTAAAACAACAGTTGACTATGTTTTACGAACAAAACAAACTATTGCCATCCTCACAGCACGGTTTCACTAAATCCAAGAGTACAGAGTCAGTCCTATGTGAATTTCAGTCGAGAATTGTTAATGCTGTTGACAGATAAAAATGTGTCATGGGCCTTTTTATAGATTTCTCACGTACTTTTGATTGTGTGGACCATGAACTGTTACTATCTAAGCTTTATAGATCAGTTTTAAGAGGGGTACCACATGATTTGGTGATATCTTATCTTATAGGTAGGAAAAAAAACTAATAAATAGAGTTTATTCTATGAAACTGCTGAGGATATATATGATAAAATCATATTGTGGGCTGAAAAGAACAATTTGAAACTCAACAAACCTAAAACTAACACCATATTGTTCAGCAGACATGATCAAAGGGATTCGAATGTAATACTTACTATATGAAAATAGTGAAAAATCAATTAGTTCTGTAGAAACTGTAAATAGGCTAAGAATTGTTCTAGATAAAAAATTTATATAGAATCAACATATTGATACCTTATGTAATAAACTGAAGAAAAGCTGCTATTCTATTAGATTCATGTCAAAGCATTGCAGCTCTAGTATACTCTTAACATTGTACCATGCTAACTTCCATTCACACCTTCGATATGGCATTCTTAACTGGGGTATGAGTGCTTCTGTTGAAAGGATATTTCTCCTCCAGAAATATGCAGTTAGAATAATAGCTAAGCTAGGGTATCGTGATTCATGTAGAGATGCTTTTAAACAGCTAAAAATTCTTACAGCTGCCAGCACCTACATACTAGAGGCTAGTGCATACGTTTTAAAAAATAAATCTAATTTTCAGTCCTCTCTTCCAAATCATAACCACAATACTCGTTCGAAAGATCTAATTGTACCAAACGCTCATAGAACTTCTTTGTATGAAAAAAGCGTAGAGTACAATGGGTGTGAATTATACAATATGCTTCCAATAGCTCTTAAGAATTCCCCAAATATTAATTTTTTCAAAAGTCAGCTGAAAAAAAAAATGCTACTTCAAAGGACTTGTTACACCATTCACGAATTCACCAATCAACTAACCTGAGATCTTGAGCTTCAGCACATTTCGTTGAAGTGTTTACTTTCAATACTTCAGAAATTCAAATTATCTAAGAACAATTCGTTCAGGCCAGTCTCAACTCCCTACATAGTAGGTTAATGGACTGACACCTCTCAGAAAACAACTACTCCCCTGGCCTGAACGAATTGTTCTTAGATAATTTGATTTATAGCCAGTCTTCAAGTATGCCCACTGACTATATGTGAAAGTTTTCTTTCCTTATACGAGGAATTGGGCAAATTTCGGATATGCAGTTGGTCACCTCGTTCACAGGCAGATGGGGCGATGACAAACGTGTTGTTTGTTGTATGCTTCACCTTAGTTCGAGGAATGATACTCTGACGGAATTCGATTTTCAATTATCGGAAATCATCGACTTTATGTTGATGATATAAACTACCTTGCACTGACGAGTGGCCAAACAGCTCGAAACTGGTCTGCACGTGTGTTCCAATAATTGAAAATCTATTGCGGCAGTTGTATCGCCAACAGCATATGCAGGAATAACTTCTGTGAAGAATCCTGCACTGACACCTGTCGGATATAATCTAACGCCCTTCGTGATATTAGCCAGGGGAGTTGTTGTTTTCTGAGAGGTGTTAGTCCATTAACCTACTGTGTAGGGAGTTGAGACTGGCCTGAACAAATTGTTCTTAGATAATTTGATTTATAGCCAGTCTTCAAGTATGCCCACTGGCTATATGTGAACCTTGAGAAATTGTGTGTTGATTATATTTTATTGGCTTTTTTATAGTTTATAACTAGTTACATTTATATGTTACTTTTATTACTTATTGATGTTTATCACTGTTTGTGTTATTGTGTTGTTTATACTATTTTGACTTATAATATGGTTACATATTATTTGAACTGACTTTTATAAAATGGTTATATGTAGTTATTTACATTTATATGTTTTTACATTTACTTTTATAATTGACAATCTCTTTGTTTATTGTGCATTGGTTTCTGTCAACTGTACTTTTCAACCAAAGAAATAAATATTATTATTGTCCAAACCAGTAGAAATTTTGACGTGTGAACACGTCTGTTTGGACAAAAAAATCTGCAATGTACGAACATCTTCAAGAATCAAACCACAAGATAAATGAAGATAACCTCAAAATCCTAACATAATATGTAATAAAGGGAGACAAATGAATTTGTTGGAGGCCATGGAAATTAACAAATCAATTAAAAACCAGAAACATATATCCCTAAACGAGCAACTCGATTTATGTAGGTCCCCTCTCTTGAATTTATGAGTTTAACATCCCCTAGAATTTTCAGCCGGGAATTTTAAAAGTTGGCATCTTGGTTCCTTCAACTTTAACTACCTGTCTCTCAAATACCTTTCCTTGCAGCATATCTGGAAAGTCTAATATAAACGATATTTCAAACTTCAGATTTCAGGTTTATATAATAGGGTCAAATCCGAAACCGGTCGTATAAATAAAATCTACCAGTGGTAAAAAAAGTACTTTTTATTCATTTCATTTAAGTACTATATTGGTCTTATATATTTTAGTTTATTTTGTATTTTCTTTAATAACTGATATACTTGTATAATATTTATGTATATTGGGACATCTATTTCTGATGAGTCTATTTCTATTATGCCACATTGTTCTACTAAGGCAGCTGTTAAGTTTTTGTTTTTTTTTTATTTATGATCAATATTTATTACAGGTGGCACATCTAGAGAGGACGGGTCACTACCTCACAATCAAAGACAACCAAATAGTTCAACTCCATCCATCCACTTGCCTAGATCACAAACCAGAATGGGTCATATATAATGAATTTGTTTTGACTACCAAAAACTATATCAGAACCGTGACGGATATTAAACGTAAGTTGCAACTCCCTTTATAATTCTCTGATTTGGGAAGTTTGTTCTGACACCCTAATAACGAACAGTTGAGAGGAATATTTCACATATAGTGGTGAATAGAGATTACATTTTATTGTGCTACAGTATCATACTTGATTTATTGAAGTTCAGAACATTCTCTTGTAATCGGAAGTTGCTTTAGGAAGCGATGATTTATGGCATCAATGATTTTCCACGAATTATTTATTATTTTTTCGACAATCCATGTTGAATAAATAATAATAAAAATAGTATCATTTATTTCATATTTAAATTGCAAAAGTACAAGTGCATAAAACCAATAATTGGTTAATACGTTCAAATACAGAAAATACAATGTAATATTAATATCTTTGGGAAAGAAAGGTTTTGATTTTCTACTTCTCTGTCCATCTACTTCTTCCTTTCAAAGGAAGAAAGCAATTAATTTCAGAATAAGCTCTTTACAAATACATGTAGATCATGCACAGAAGTTACTTTCAGACACCAATTGGAAGGAAAAGCCCCCTCCAAACAACTACTTTCATGTAAACATTGACTTACACCAAACAAAGAGTTCTTTCGTAACGACTACTCCTATATGAACATTGAATTATACAAAATACACTTTCCTATTCAGTTTGTACTTCAAACACTCGTTATGGAATTTAATTTGATATCATTCACAGGATTGCTACACAATAAACTATATGAAAAATATAAAATTTCACTTATAGTATTTCCAATACCAATTGGAACAGCACAGAGAAGGAATTCCCGACTCGACATAGGCGTCGGCATATTATTTTTCAGTGGTAGTTTTTCAGTTACTTATTCTTACAATCATAGCAATTGATCACCCCATGAAAAAGTTATCTCAACTGAATTTTTCCACCATGGCTAATTATGAAAAACTTCGAAATTTAAGGTAGTTGATTTCCGAGTCGAAAACTCTGAAATACAATGAAAACACAAATAATCACACCGAATTCTCGTCAAACATATATTTACAAACTAATAGAGACCAACAAAATTGTTAGAAAAATCAAAATTCTTCTTCGCTATATTCGGATGAGGTGGAATCATCATCGAGTTGAATAACGATCGGATTTATGGAACTTTGCACGTAATATTTGTTCTCTTCTTTTATAACGTGGGCCACACAGTTCTTCCACACATCAATATTACCTACTTCATTCACCACTCGCTTTATATTGTCAAGCACAACAGATTCAAAGTCGGTGACTGATTACATTTCCGCAAGCTTTCTTTCATTGTGGCCCAAACCATTTCAATTGTATTGAACACACAATAGTATGGAGGCAAACGTAAGAGAATATGACCACATGTTTCACACATCGAATCAATAATATACTCTTTTTTGAAATTTCGTTGTTTTATGGTCGCCAGTAATACCTTTTTCGTTGGAATCTTTTCGGGTATTAACATGTCATGATTTCGCATGAAATCAACAATATCTGCTTTTTTTTTGTTATTGTTTGGTCACTGAGGATACACTACAAAAACGCACTTTTGTCTATTACATTTAAATGAGATTCCATTATGGCCATTCGATTGTTCAATTTTTTATATTTGAAACCACAAGACAATAAGACACCTCGTAGAGTTTCTGAAGATTTGTAATTGTAATCGGGATAGTCGAGTACATTATACCAAATCATTTCCAAGGTTGGTACTTCATTTTTTTGGTATATACTATACATTGTTCGCCGAATAACATCTTTTGTAGCACCATCAACGTTTGCGAATTTTTTATTCCTTTGTTTTCGTTTCATTGCATGGTCAATGACATCCCCTATTTTAACGACTTGAGGAACTGTCCGCTTTTCAATCTATTGTTGACAAATTAATTTGCAGGTAGTGGTTCCACTAGTTAATTACCGAAAAATCAATTAGGATAATCATCATTTAACAAACAAAGTCCACATCGGACCAACAAACTTTAGGTATATAAACAGCTAACCCTTGTCTTTAGATTCAGTATCAATTTGCTTCTCCTGAAAATGCTAACCTGGTTAGCAATACGTGCGTCGAGTGTAAAAATATCAGTTTGGTGTTAGGGTAATTGATTTCTAGAAAAAGTTTTCAAAAATCGGTTTGCAAAACCATTCACTACCTCACCTAACCCCATGAACACACGGCACTGATAAAAAAATATTGTGATACACACAAAAAATTAGTATTCAGCCAGTCCAGCTAGCCGAGCCTTTACTCCTCAACTACATTTGATAGCTAACCTAACTATCTGGGCGACTAGGGGCCACAGGCAATAAATGTTTCTGACTGTACTCTTATTTTTATTGCTGTTCCAATTGGTAATGGATAGACTATACATGGAACACTGTCATTCTCAGAGGCGGGACATCTATGTTTTGGCATAAAAATAATTATAAGACGTGTCCGTTTTTTGAAATTTCATTAAGATTAGTTAGACAAGTTAACAACAACAGGCAACTAGATGCCTATGAGAGTGTAGAAATAAGTAAACACAATAAAATTATGAATAACGATGACGGACCTATACCAAAGAGCATACTATATAGCTTGTTAAAATAAAATAATGTTGGGTTTACTGATTACTACATAAGGACACATTGCAAAAATAAATTTGGATAGGCAATATTGTGAAATTAATTTTTATATAGCTGAAAATTGTTCTATATAAACATATATTGTAAAATAATAGATAAGGCAAAATTGTGAAATTAATTTAGGATGGTATACCTGTATGGTTGGTACGCCTGGATGGTTTACCTGTATTATTCACCTTTATAGCATAAATAGGATTAGCTCGCGCTAGTTCTTAGTTTTAATCTTCCTCTTTGAAGGTGATCACTTGGTGATCGAAACACGTGTCGAGGTGTTAAAAATAACGATTTGGTGTTGGGAAAAAACTCCAGTAATATTCATTACTACACCAAAGGTTCCAAACAGTGCATCATAAGTTGATTAGTGATGTCCATTTCAATGAGTTTAGAGAGATTTAATAATAAACTGATGGCTCTATAATTGGAAAAGTCATCAGAATCACTTTTTTTGTATAATGGCAGAACCACAGCTAATTTTAAGCATTCTGGGAAAATTCCTTCAGAATAACAAAGATTGATGAGAAAAGCCAATGGTTCACATAAGCCTGCATACGATTTTTTCAGTAGGTTATTTGATATTTCATCAAATCCACTTGAGTTGGAAGATTTCAAATTGAAAATCAATATTTTAACATCTACAGGTGTAATAGCATGGAAGAAATGAATCACATAAAATCAAGTAAACTTGTCTTATATTACATACTTATCAGGATTGGGACAGGACTCGACCAGTTTGGGCGTAATATTCTCTTTTCATATTCAGTTAATTCAATTACCCTGTTGTAAAGTTCTATTTTTTAAAGCTTCATAAGCAGTATTGAATGTGATAAATTGAGTTCATTGATAGTTTAACAGTTATATGCTCATTTATTTCTATACCAATCAGACTTAATTTCTAAAGTGATTCTTTTTTTTTATTTTGATTGTTTATTTTAGTGATACTTATTTATCTTTTTTCTTTTTCAGCTGATTGGTTATTGAAGATAGCACCACAGTATTATGATCTGAACAATTTTCCACAATGCGAAGCCAAGCGACAATTAGAAATCCTGCAGAGCAGATTAGAATCCAAACAGTTTCAACAAGGTTTTTGATTTTTCTCAGTTAATTTTTCGATGCTATTCTTACACTAGTAACAATTTGATTGAAATTTGATTATTTATAGTTTGATATTTGTACAATATTTGACATTATGCAAGTTATTGATATAATCCTTTTCATTCCACGAGTAAAATTAATGTCATATTTTTAGTCGTTTTATTTGAGTCTTTACCTTCGTTCATACGGAAATAACACAAAATCAAGTATTTTGAATAAATGAGAAATTGTAAAACGGAACATCTCATTGGGATGGTACTATTCCAATTAAAATGACATTTTGGGTGACTTTAATCAACATCTGCTTAATGATTCCCTATTTATCATTTTTGTAGAGATTAATGGAAAGAATATGATCCACATCTTGGGTGAATGTGTCAGAAATTTACTATTAGCCAGTAGAATGTATGCTGTTCGATATCTCAACTCAAGGTCTATACGACCAGAGAGTTTTTAATAATAATAATAATAAATATCTTGGCCTTTGGTGAGTTGCGCCACCTCCTATCCGAGAAACTGGTGCAAAACTGGACCTGCAGCCCAGGCGCACCCGGGAAGGAGAACATTTAGTTCCCTCCGGTGCCGGCCGTGGGTCCACAGGGCTAACCACCCAACACTTGGTTCCTAGTAACCGATGTAGGGGCCCCCACAATCGACCCGTTCGGAGGGGTCAGAGGCAAGGTGGTGGGGTCCATAACGATGATTGCCTACCGATGACAACCCTGGCAATGACAACGGACAATTTGAGTGGACACATGAGCTAAGAGATGGCCTTATGCATTGCTACGAGAGTAGTGAGCCAGCGCGAAGGGGGTTCATGGCGGGATTGCATGCTCTGTGGTGTGAAACACATCCAGAGCATGCCGTATTTTCCGCCGAAAATCTTAGGGATTACGAATCCTATCTTCGACGCCAGGGCTATTTAGCTCCTTCCCAGCCTGCTAACGAAGTGATAGAAGTGACAGTTCTACCACCTGTTGGCACGGCTGGAGAGGAGACTCTCGTCATACCACCAATTGAGTCAACCAGAACACGCAGGGCGCTCCACAGAATTAGGCCCCTGAAGCCAATAAAACTGGCTTGTATGGATGCGGAGATTCATAGTGTTCTAACAGAAGAGACTGACATCTGGCAAATTAACACAGCCGTGTATAGCGTCGTCCAATCGCTTTCCGAATCGAAAGGACGATATCCCGGCCTTTCGGTTCGGAAGATTGAACGGCGTGTACACAAGATGGAGGCTAAGATCACGTCGGCGAGACAACACGCGTCTCGTATCCAATGTGTGATGGATTACAGGGCGGCCAATAGGCCTTTCACGCCAGAAGTGCGGCGAATAGCCGCCAATCTACGACGTGTCCATCACACTTTAAGTCAAGGCGCACTGCTGACTACCAAACAGCATTGCCTTGATAGGATACGAGTGCTAGGGGCCGATGAGAAGTCACTAGTGAGGCGAGCGAGAAGTATCGCGGAAAACCTTAGGTTCCGCGAGAAACCTTCTCGCTTATTCCAAGAGCCTCCACGTGTTGTGGATAATCCACCGATCGCTGATTAGGTGGAATCCTTCTGGAAGGATATCTATGAAAACCCACAGCCACTCAACTTAGACACTCCAGCCCTAGCGCAGTTCGAAGCTTTCAACAGAGAGCTTCGACAGCCTGAGCCCAACGAACTGCGCAACCCGATAACCCCGGATGACGTTCGAAGGGCCCTCGTTGGTTCCAAGAACTTTGCTGCTCCAGGCCCAGATGGGCTGAACACTTATTGGTGTAAAAAACTACCAAGTAGCCACCGCCATCTGGACAGAGTTTTCAATTCATGGCTGGACGGAGAGCAGCCGATTCCGGATTGGTTTGTCGAGGGGCGGACCGTTCTTATCCCCAAAAGCGGAGATTTGTCGATTCCTAAAAATTGGAGACCGATAACATGCTTGAAGTTGTTTACAAGCATCTTATACACACACGAATACTCACCGCAGTTGACCGAATGTTCGAACGGATATATGAGCCGAGAAGGTCGAAGACAGGAGTCGGTGGATGTAGAGAGAACCTGCTCATCGATAGATGTGTAGCGCAGGACTCTATTACAATATAAGCGTAACCTCTCTGTGGCCTGGATCGATTACCGTAAGGCATTTGATACAATTTCGCATGAGCTCATCTTGCATTTGCTCAGATGCCTTGCGGTACCCGACAAAATAATGAGATGCATTGAATAACTGATACCACTTTGGCGAACTCGCTTTACCATAATATCTGGTCAAGCAAGAGTCCAAACAGGGTGGGTCACTTTCAGAAGGGGTGTATTTCAGGGTGATTCCCTCAGTTCTCTTCTCTTCTGCATCTCACTATTGCCATTATCCGTTGCGCTCAGAAATACTCGAGGGTATAACTGTGGCACCCCTGGAAATCGGAGACACAAAGTCACCCATTTGTTTTATATGGATGATCATGAACTTTATGCCTCTGGAGAGAAGGATCTCCATCAGTCTTTGAGGGTGGTGGAACAGTACAATGTGCAATGTTCCATCTCAAAAGAGGACGATGCGGGGACTACGGAGAGGATGTGCAGCTCGTAGATGGAAGCATCCTACACCATCTGGATGCCGGAGAGACGTATACTTACCTCGGGGTGGAACAACGCCATTCACAAGAGATAACAGCAGTGAAGAACTCTCCGCGGCAAGTAGCACAAACTTCGACAGATCTGGTCATCGGAACTGTCGGGGAAGAACAAAGTTGCTGCAACAAATATGCTTGCCGTTCCAATTTTACTCTACTCGTTTGGAATGGTGAAGTGGATTCAGGAGGAGCTGTATCAACTCGACGTAGAGACCCGGAAAATTATGCATCTCTATAGGAGTTTGCATCCCAAATCGTCCGTTCCACGGTTGTACTTCCCCCGACAACAGGGAGGCCGTGGACTTTTGAGTTTGGAGTGTCTACATGACAGAATGGTACTGGATACAGCCTGTAAAGTCGTCACGAGTTGGGTTCTCTTCTCTGCTTGGACCGTGACCATGAGAGAGCAGGAATTGGAGCATTTCTCTTTAGGGCAGCTGCCCGAACAGCTGATGAACTCGGTAAAGGTGACCACAACTCTGTCACCGAGTTGGAACCCGTTCAGCAAAAAACTCAATCAATCAATCAATACTTTAGTGTCATAAAGAACAAGAAATTCTTGTGGCCAAAGTACTTATATAAATAAAACACTAAATGCTAAAAGGTACAATTTGTCAGGCAACATATAGTATAAAAATCCTCAACAATAAGAGAAAAAATAAATAAATAAAATGAGAAATAATTAGATTGAAAGCTATCCGCATAAAATTCTTCAAAAGTATAATACGGGCGACTACACAGTAAGAAGTAAAAAGCCTTTTTGAAATTATCTAATGTGTTAATTTCTCTTATAGAATCAGGTAAGTGATTGAAAATCTTGCAATCATTATTGTTCACTCCTCGTTCCTTCTTAGTTTAGTTGAATTTTTTCTTCCCTTTTAGGTTAAGCATTTAATTATTATATATATTCTCAAAAACCGTCACTCTGTCATTCAACAGAAATATTTGAGATTCTCTATCAAACTATCTTTCCCTCACTTTTTGCTCCCGCTGTATCATAATTTCTGGCCAGCCGCCAGATGGTAAGTCAGTTCTCACCGAGAAGCTTGCGCTAGCTATAGCAACTCCAAGTCGAATCGCAATCTCGAAAAACCCGAGAAACGTGACCCGGAAAAGTGCATTCCTTTTCGATAAGTCCATACCCAGAATACAGTCCATTTTGCATTACGTGTGAAAGAGCGGTGGAAACCACCGAAGCCAGAGAAGTCCAGGATTCCAGGTGAGTTGACTATACTTTCTTCGGCTGGCGGAACCCTAACTCTCTCAAACATCGACAATTATAAATAATAGAGTCCTTCACTGAAGTAGAGTTTGGCTTGGGTAAGTTTATACTGTTTTGCTTACGTGTAGGATAGCGGTTAGCCGTATTGAATTTATTCAGATGTTTTTTGATCAGACAAACTGTCTCCGCTATGAATATGACAACAACAGTATGTAGTTTATGTAATACAACAAGTGGTTTGCATGGATCACGCGCCTTTGCTTTCGAAATGTATCTAATTGCTCTTTTTTTGCGTAATCAGGATGCTTTTCATGACATTATTATTGCCTACTCCCCAAAATGGGGAGCCGTATCTGAGATGGGATTCAATTACTGCATTTACTGCATACTATTTTTGCAGCAGAGGATCCCAATTCCTGCGATATCATTTTTACAGCAAAACAGCCAGAGGTCAGTTTTTTATTTAAATTCATTGCGTGCTCTTCAAATTTCAAGTTATTTTCAATGAATATCCCTAGGAACATTATGCTGTTTCGGCTCTCTATGTAACCTTTATCCAGTTCGATGCTACCAAGATCACACCTGAAGTATAATATATTGGTTTTTGAAACGTTGAGAGCAAGGAAGGTTTGAGTCACACCAACTTTTAATTTTTTGCATATCGCAGTTTATTTTTCTTTCCAGATCAATAGTATGTTTGTCATGCCGTTTGTAAAAGCCGCTGAGATCACCTCATTTTTGCGGAAACAACGATAAGCAATAACATTGGAGACCTTGGCTTATCAAAGACCCTGACTTTTGTTTTCCTCAGGTCGAGTGGGCTGAAGTCGGAAACTGAGAGGTTCATCATGGCTTGTCAGGACGGTGTCTTTTTAACACCTTATCCTACCACAGTCGCGTGATGGGTATAGAGGTTCCTGACACAAGGTGCAGGGCCTGCCGCGAGGCGCCCGAGACCCTAATGCACTTGCTATCAGCATGTCCAACATATGCGGTCTCGGCATGTATCCATCGACATATCGCGGCCCTTAAAGTGGTGTATTACCATCTACGGCACTCTTACGGTAATGATGAGACACTGGTGTTGCTCTACACTCCGGGGGATATTGAATCCGTTGTGGGGAACGAGAAGTGCCGAATTTATTGGAACTATTCGTTCCCCACCCTCAGGCTCATACAAGCTAATAAGCCTGATGAATGAATGAATGAATGAATGGATGAATACGTTTATTTAGGAAATCCTAATATACATACAATAATAATAATAATAAATCAGTAAACAATAATAATATGTCCATGAACA